GTATAGTTGGCATAAAATATTTCTTGGGATGTTTTTGAGAAGAGTCAGTGACTGCTAGGAGCTGGGAAAAATAATATGCTAACTGCTTTTCTTGAACTACACAGTTGCATGAGCCTATGAAGGCAGTCAGTGTTTCTTCTAATTCACCGGCTTATTAAAAAAACCACTCTTCACCATCATGCTCATTAAGCTAAATTTCAGATCTCCTCAAACTGTCTAGGCACTGACTTGGTCTAAAAGATTTGATATAAATTTTGAATCTTTGTTCTTGCAAAAATCTTAGTTATTTTTCAAATTTAAATAACTGAAATGGTCCCACGTAGCTAGGAGCTATCGAGCGGACAGCACGATTTGCAGTGCACCTCCACCATCACAAGTCCTACTGGATGGTGACATCTAGGGCCATTCATGCTCCCTTATCTTCAAACCATCAGCATTAAAATCTTTCCTATGTCCAAGCTTCTTAAATGTTTCCTTTGGAGCAATACTAAATATGGGAAAAAGCAATTCCCAAATCTCAAATACTATTTATGAGGTTTCATAAATACAGACTCTCAGAGTTTCTATTTTCTTACTTTACTTATTCAAGAAATTTTTATAAATTTCACTTAAAAAAATTATCTTCTAAGTAAGGTAGTTTCTAAGAAAATAAAAAGTAACAATAAATTTTTGAAAATCTATCTGGTGCTGTATTAATTTTCACACATAAAAACATGGCCATGACCATCACAAAGAGAATGATTAGGTGCATGAAGTCTCATAATTGTTATTCATCAATTAGAAATGTTAAAATCTTGAAATTATCTGAAGAAAATTAAAGATAAAAATATTTTTATTATGCATTCTTAAAGGGCATCTCTGTGATGGTTTACCAGTATTTAAAACCTGTATTCTAATCTATACCTCATTTGCATTCATAGCACAAATATTTCAAGTTATCCAAACTAAGTATATCAACATAGTCTTTTGTTTAAAAAACTCATCCTTTCCCTAAACACCAGTAAACTACAATGTATTACAAGAAAAACCAAGCAGATGTAATATATACATCATAAACTGCAAATAAAATTTAAGGTTTATTTAGAAATATTTTCCTTTGTTCATCTTCTTGCTTAAAAGACATAAAGCAAGTATCTTATCCAGGAACCCATTTTACTCCTCATATATGAAAACTGAGTGGCTATCTGAGAAAAATGTAAAATGTACACTTTAATTCAATACGAATAACAGCAAAAATATAGTTTGGTTCCTTGAAAGGCCACAAGAATGAGACAGAAATGTGGGACAGGAGGAAAATTAAAAGGCTGAGGGAGGAAAAAAAGATTGGAAGGAAAGAGAAAACAAGAGAAAGGAATCAATACAGAGTAAACGAGGAAAAAAATAGAATCAGGAAAAAAGAGAAGTGGAGAGCAACAGGCAGTAAGTTCTGAGCTTTACTAAGTGTATCATTTATCTGCTTTTATTATATACATGCTCATTAATTTAGCTAAATATTTCAGAGAAGTTAAAGATAAAGTGAATTTTCTTTAAAATTGTGATTTAGCTATTTGTCAGCTAAATTTCTGTTTATAAAATCTGAGTTGCCTTCACGAAACATGAATTAGGTCAAGCAAATCAAATATTGCTTTTTTGGGCCATATTAGGTCTAAAAGTTTCCTACTCGCTGTGTTCCTTGATATAAATGTTTAAAATTCAGACTAGGTAATTTTTCAAATCTTCCTAACACTAACCACATTCCAAAAATAGTTTCCTAAGCCATGATCTTACTGAAGCCAATTCAGTCCATAAAGCTGTGTGTTTAATTTGTAACTAGGTTTCTTCATTTTGACCTTGGATGCACAAGGCATGAGAGATTACCAGCACTGCAAAATTTAAACGAAATAACATCGTCCAACTTTTAAATTTGATGTGAAATTCAGAGAAAAACAGAAGTGAAGGAAAGTTGAAATCTCTATAAAAGAGTAAAAGGCAACAGAGACCAAACCATGACAAAATGGCTCAGATGAGGGGAGAGGGGATTCCAAGCAGCAAATTAAATGACAAACAGCAGCCCCACTGTTAGTTTCTTTTAAAAGTACTGAAACTCCCCTGTGAGGGAAGGTGTGCTAACAAGGCGGTTAATGCTTAGGTGTGATGATTAAGGGCCTCTTACTTACCAGTAACTGGAATCCAAAACTACTAACAGAGACAGTAAGATGGTGAGGATAACTACATTTGAGACCTCAAATTGAGTACATGATAAAATTGATTACTGACACTGTCTTTTACATACTACATCACATACATAGTTTCCCTTCAAGAGTATATATATGTATATATATACACACATATATATATACATATACAGCAAGACTCCTTTTTAAAGAGCATCTATTAAAGGATTAAATTTGTTAACATTTCCTAGCACCAAATAAATGACATGTATACATTTATTTTTGGATACCAAGTCATGGCACAATTAATGAAAATTTAAGTAAAAATGTTTTCTAAATGCTTTTTAAAAATCTGGCATTTAGTAGATTAAGACATTGAGTTATTCTATAAAATAATTCAAAATTTAGTCTCTAAAGTAAAATTTTACTCCTTAATATCCTCTAGAATATAGTATTTCACATAAAGTGACACATTACTGGCATAAATTTCTAAAGGATTTCTTTATGCTAGTACCTTTCGTATTTGAATACCAAAAGTCTATGACTAGCCTTATTTAAAAATTGCCCTACAAATAGAGAAAACACACCTTAGAAGTTCATTTCCAAAAGAAAGCTCTGCCCAGACTTTCTCCACTTAGGAGCAATCATTTCCTTTTCACTGGTGGTGAGGGGGTGCTGCGAGGGGCCAGTGCTGCCAAAGATCACCTCTGCTGGGTCATTCTTTAAGTACAAGACGTCCTGAGGTGTCTGCTACATAAGTATCTTAAACCCTCAGTCATGCAAACACTAAAAGACAGAAATGTTTCTTCCCTAGTTTTTCAACCCTATTCAATTTAAAATTCTTGTAAGAATAAATTTCTTACCAGGATAACAAAACAACTAACATTTTAAGTTTTCTATATTAAGCTCATGGCTTGGTTTTTAAAAAGGTTATTCAAGAAAGTTTTCTGAATGAGGAAAATATTAGGCATTTCCAAAACAGTCATATGTTTGCTTGGTATGCAAAAATTCATTTCTCAAACAACTCAATTTTTTACCTCCAGCTTTCTTAAGCTGGGTTTTATTTCTTTTAAAATTCTGAATTACTTACAGATATACATATTTTTAATGATTTTTGTCTGGCACAAGGAAAATATTGCTCAACAAGTCTACTCCCTTAACATGTATTCTTTAAAAAGTGTTTTACTGTTCAATTAAAATTAGTATAAAAAACCCAACTCACTGGCAAAGTAGAAAGAAGGGCTTGTCTCCTTGTTGTATGGTAATTTGGGACATGCTGAATTTGGGAAATAGAAAGGTAAATTAGCCTTTTGAGGTGTGCATTTTTCTAATTTTCTGGAAAGGTTGACATATTTAGTATTTCTTTTTGTATTCATGCATAATTCATTCTTCTTATTTTAAAAGAGCTGACAAGCACTTTAAACATTGCTACAAAATTAAATAAGAGAAGGCTGAACCAAAAGACACTTTTCTTCTGTACTGGGGGGTCAAGTTCTACACGCTGACTTGCTTAAACAAAAGGAATAAAATTGTTATCTAATAAGACCAACATGACATTCCGTTGAACAACCTTGATATAAATAATGTACCAAAATAAAATATTTACCAAGTTTAATTCAAATGACTCAAATAATTCTGCAAATCATTATTAATAGAAATGTCATCATTCTGTAAGATATTTATAAGGCATCTGGTAGTGGATCCAAAAACTTAGAAACATAATAATAGTAACATTAAACATGGGTATGATATCCTTTCTTATTAAGACGTCTACATAAAAGTGTGTGTTTAAATACAGATTCTCAGGTGGAAGGATAATAGGTGCATTTAAATCTTTCTGCCTACTATATTTTTTAATTTATCTGCATTAAACTATCAAAAATAAACCAAAAAAGAATTCTGGATCTGACTCTTCCTGATGGCTTTAGGTAGTAAAGTTTCATTATCACTTTTTCTGAAAGAGAAAACACCACTCTATCAAAGTAGATGAATTAGAAGACTAGATGTTAAGGAAACAAAAAGTAACTTCTTAGGAAGGAGGGGGCAGAAGGCATTGATGAAAGTTAAAAGTAAAGAGATGAAGTTTGTAATCAAAGTCCTTTCTAAAATAGAGAATAAGGTCAACAATTACTTAGAATGTGTGTGTGTATGTATGTGTGGATATGTGTATATATAGATATATATAGATATATCTATATA